TTTGATTCGAAATTAGTGTCGTATATTATACGCTTCAGATTATACACATTTCTATCAGTATTGTCGAATATTGATGTACTTTTTCATCATAGGGAGATTAACTCGTTCGAGACTCAATTTTTCATTTCTTATTTCAATATTAGTTCTTATAGGCATTTGAATTATTTTTGTTGTATTTTTTGCTGGCATTCTGTTTCAAAACACAATAGTAGAGCTCCTATAAATTGCTTTTTCATCTTAAATATTTTTTTAACAATTTAAAAATATCACAACATATGATCCAACTTATATAATACGTAATTTCTCACATGTTTTGGCAGAAAACATTCACTTTGTACTTCGATTTTCTCTGATGAACTTAAACTACTTCGTATCATTGCCTAAAATCTAATCATACTTTTAATTAAAAAACGTAAAATATCAAACCGTCAGATTGAAAGTAGCAACTTCTCAATGAATTTGTGAATTCCATTTCTCTTGATTTATTTAATCATATTTACAAGTCACTGTAGAACGCATTGAATAATTAAGGTACATTTTTATGCTATCTGATCAGATTTAGTATTGTTTAATCGTCATGAAATCTATTACGAACAGCTATTAAGTAGACAAGCTTTCATTATCAATAATACATTTGTTTGATCTGAATATATCAATTTCACGCATATATATGTTACGGTCAAAACTGGAATCTGGTCAAATTCTAAATTTGATCGAGCAAAATTGGAAGTCGAATTTTGACTGGACAAATTTAGAATTCAAATTTTGACCAACTTGTTTTTTGGCAAAATTGGAATTCTAGTTTTATCCGGACGAAATTAGAATTGGACTAAAAATAAAGTGATACACATTTTTGTATTGTTCAAAAACATAGAAAGGAAAAATATTAACAAAGATAGATAACTGTTCTTTTTCAAAGAACACAACAAAAGAAATGAGTAGAATATTCTAGAGTGATCTAATTGTTTTATTCGACTTTTTATATATAGGAGTAGTGCGTATTGTATTATCGTCAAAAAAGACAAATTCAAATACGACAGATATGCATGGGATTGACAAAAAGATTTAATTTAAATGATTGTATTGGAATCCCCATTCATACAGTGATAGAACAAATACTGACCCTAAATATTCACCATGCTTAATTGTTGAAAAAATTGAAAAAAAATAACAACGTTTTATATAAATTAGTTTGTCAATATGGCAAATTAGAAAATACTTTTTCTGTTGAAGATCTAGTCGATTTAAAATCAGCTTATCCAGAAGAATTAAAACAACTATTCATAGATGAGTTAAAAGATATTATAATAATTGAAGCATGTAAACCTTATATTCGTAGATCGACAAGCGAACGTACATGTGAGTGTAAAGGAAAATGTGCCACTAACCAATGTCCATGTAAAAAAAGTAGGACTTTTTTGCTCAACTAAATTTCATTCTAAATTAGGAGTTTGTAAGAATATGGGTAGATAGATTAGAAAATAGGAACTGTGACTTGTTTGATAAAAACAAAATTATGGAATAAAATAGCAGTTTGAAATAAAAAATAGTTTTTGAAATAAAAATCTCTTTGTTTGTTCAAACTCTAAATGTTCCAGGTTGCCCAATTTACTTTTAGTCCAATTCTAATTTCGTCTGGACATAATTGGAATTCCAACATTGTTCAAAAACAATCTGGTCAAAATTCGAATTCTAAATTTGCTCGGTCAAAATCAGAATTCAGACTTTGTCCGATCAAATTTAGAATTTGACCAGATTCCAACTTTAACCGTAACATATAAATACAGAATTTCAATTATTAATAATAGAATAATATTTATTGTTTCTTTTTATCCTTTGCTGTATCTGAAATAATTTCTAGTAAAAATTACTGTTGTAATACTAGTAGAATTTGATCAATTGAAACTATTAATATTGTACAATTCAAATGCATTAGTATTTGAGTTTCTGCTCAATGCGATCATATATGAACATTTTACTCTAAATAAAATTATGATCAACTACATATTTATGACAATGACATTAAATATGGTAAATAATCCAACATGATATAATGATCAAAAACTATTTATCTTGCACAAACCATGTTTCTCCTTTTTTATTTTGAAGGAAGGATTATGGTAGAATATTCAAGGTGGTAAAAATGAAATAGAAAACTTATTATTATTGGGTACAATGATGATGCTCATTTGATCGATTGAAATATTCATCATCCTGTTATCAATAATAATCTGATGGTCCTCATTGTTGTAGATAATAATTCAGTGCATCTTGTTACTTTATGTTCAAAAAAAAAATTAATTAAATATGATACAATTCATTCTGTAGATTTGAAAAAGGAATATTCTCATAAAAAAAAGTCGCTTTCTTGTAAAAAAAAAATTAATTTTATTTTTTGCACTTGAAAAAATAAACAATAAAAATATTACATTTTGTTTGGAAACTTGATAAAGAAAACATGTCTAAACTATAGTCATTTTTTCGCATGTAATAAAAGTCAACTAAATGTTACATTATTATTTTACAAGAGACACAAAACGGATACGATTACAAGCTATAAAACTGTTTTTCCTGGAAAAACAGCCAATTTTATTTGATAAATCAAAAGAATGTCGATATAAATATGGCATATGATTTCACATTTTGAAATATTAGAAGGAAAATCATATAATTCATCGAAGAGATTCATCAAAACTAATATGTTTAAATTATCGCTTTTTTTAATGAAAAGATCAAATCATTAAACTTTGGATTCGAAAAACATAAAGCCCATATCACGTAACAGGTTTTCTATCGATGGAAATATTGAACTCAAAAAACTATTTCTTTAAAAAAACAGATTATTTTACTCGCTATCTCCTATGTAAAATTTCCTTAACGATTTAACGAAAAAAGATGTCACCTTTCTGATCATGAAGACACATTAAAATATCTACTTTAATGAAATAACACGAATTACATATATTTTGCTTTAATTTCATTTTAATGAGAAAATATTCTGGAATTTCATTAACGTCAATAATTTAACGCATTTTTTTTTATCAAGAATGTAAAATATTTTTTCATTAAATTATTAAATTTAAAAAAAAATCTTGCATGGGAATTAAAAAAAGAAGAAAAAACGACGTTACCTGATTGTTTTTTAATTTCAGATTGAAAAACAGACGAACTCAACATTATATGACTAAATCGATAGATTTCACGGGATGAATAGGTGTAAATTACAGATTTTCTTACATAGAAAGAATATAGCAATTCGTTTAGCACTTAGAAAAAAGAATAAACAGAATATCATGCAAATATTTAAATTAAATATTTTCAGGACTTCTATCATTCTTTGGTCTGATATTTTTAATGATGAAAAATTTACATATTGTATTGGCATGCATAGATGTTTCTTCTCACTAAATGCTAAAGTGTTTTGTTATTGTTGTAGATATTCATGTAAGCAGAACGTTGTGTAATCAATGTAGCATGTTTTCGTTCACCACTGTTTCTAATAAAACCAACCTGCTCTACCGTTATATGCATTAGATTAATATAGAATCGGAATAGAAAAACTTCACACGTTTTAAATCTGTTTGTTGACTAGCATATACCTGTCGTAGTAATCATATATTGACTTCTACAAACATAAATGAATATGAGTCTACATTAACTTAGAATTGAAACAGAAAAATTTAGTTTGTAATGTCATGTATATGGCACATCCTCACGTTCTAGCGTATTATATCAACATGATCGTTAAATAGAGTAGGTTAGTTGAAAGAAAAATTAGCAGTTATGTACGTACATTTAGTTTTGTATTTTTTTTGCACTAGCATGGATCAATCTTTGATGCACCGTGATCTTGCAGCAATTATATTTGATTTGGAAACGATAAAGTTTTAAATGCATTTGATGCGAATACAAAATTATCAACTGTTATAATATCAAATGAATAAGAGCAAGTTGTTAATGATGATAAAAATAATTAACAAGTTGGTCAAAATGTTCCACCATCACTATTAGATAATAATAATAATGTACCACAATTAAATCATCTTGAATTAAATTCAAGAAGCAAAGAAAAACATTCGTTTATATATATATATATATTTTTTTTTTTATTGTTCTGTGTAATTATCAATATCTGTTAATCTTTCTCCTACATGTTGATGAAGTTTGATCTAAGAATTTGGACATTTTAATAAAGAAAAGCTTAGAGTTTACAGATCTCACTGGTTTGTATTTTTTCTGATGTTTTGCAAATCTGACTCTTGATGCACTATGATCGATAACCAGATAGATTAATCTAAGTTGATTCTTGAAATTTGATGCACTGAGTGTTCCATACATCCATATTATTGTGTCAGAAAAGTGTTAGTGTAACCATATGTATAAATGTTTAAAATAAATTTATAGATTTTTAAGTGAAAAACATTGAAAGTCATTATATCTCACTGTTGATTTCATCGTTTTCTATTCGATTTATATTTGGAATAGCTTTCTTAGCTATAGTTTAGGTAAAATAAGACATTGAGAGAGATAAATGATGTTTTTTAGCTTTGAGAAAATGAATCTTTTTCTGTAATATAGAAATGTAGATAAAAAGGTTCTCGACAGTGAATAAAGAGAGACGAAAAGTTTCAGTCTAAAAATATGAAAATAAACAAACAAGATAATAACGTTCGTGCAAGATTGAAGAATTAAATTTTAAGATTTTTTTCCAAAAAAATAAGAATAATCTTAGTCTAAATTTATCAGATTAAATCAGACCCAAATATCATACAGATGCTAAAACAAAATTATTTTTTTCGTTGCATTGTCTTGTAAAAGAGCAAATTTTAGCTTTATCAACAATATTTAATTGGATTTTCTAAAGAAGTCGATTTTCTTTATTGATATGTGCTATATTGTAGATAATAATTCGAAAAATTTTCATTAAATTAAAGATGAGCACACGGTGCATATTCTGCTCGGTATTGTGTTCGGGTAACTCTTGCTTACAATGCAATCAAATGAATCGTTGTCAAAAATTTGCAAGATTGCTTCAGCTTTTGGGACAATGTTCTGAAAGTATTGTTTATTATGATGAAATTGCTTCTGTCGTGCAACGAATTCGACAGGTAAGTCTACTACGGTTCTAATTAAATTATAAAGAAAATGTTATAGATTGAATCAATTATGGCACCAATTCAGTTTCATCCGAATCAAGTTTTCGATGAAACCAAACATATTGTGGATCCAATTGCTAAAAAATATCTTGAGAAAGCGACTAATGATGTACATCATCTTATTCCGGTCAAAGTTGCTGATGACGGAAACTGTTTTTACCATTCAATTCTTCTATTAATGAATAATCCAACGGTGACGACGGATGAATTGCGCGGTAAATAGATTTATTTTTCGTTTATATCATTGTACAATCTATTTTAATATAATTTTTAGTTCGAACAATTATCGAACTTATGACAAATGAAGCTTATTATGATAGCATGTATTCACAATTCATCGGATCTGTTGCATTTATTATCAAGGCTATGTGCAAAAATAATACATTTTTAGAATTGTATGAAATTAGTGCATTATGCAATGCACTTAAATGTAATATACGAAGTATCTATCCAAAAATCGATTTTCGAGAAGATATGACCATTTTGAATAACGTATTTACGCCTACTCCACCTGTCATTGCCAACTGTAACATCGAAATTTTGTAGTCTCATGTCTTGAATGAAACAGCTGCACGAGCTGCAAATAATGGCGCATGGAGTCCCAATCATTTTGTTCCTCTTCTATCATCAGCAACGCATTACACATCTGAATATGAAAATAAATCACCAACGTTTCCTGTAAGTTGTTTATCCATAACTGCTTCTCTGGAAATTTTTGAAATTTATTTAGATTCCTGAAAAGAAAACGTTTAAGAATAATACTCCTACTCGAATATGAAGTCCTGAATTTGAATGTTCTCCTAGCAGCCGTCGACGTATCGATAACATGGGAATGTACTCCACTCAATCAATCAGTTCAAGTGTATTACAACAAAGTCAAAGTAACATAGAAGAGCAACGTCGAGTGCGGCTTGATGCACAAAAAGAACGAGCTCAATCTAACCGAATGAACGAAACAGCTGAACATCGTCAAATTCGGCTTGAAAAGCAAAAACATCGAGATCAATCTCGTCGATCAAACGAAACAGAAGAACACCGTCAACTTCGCCTTGAAAAGCAAAAAACACGAAATCAATCGAATGAAACAATAGAACAACGTCAAATTCGACTTGAAAAACAAAAAACACGAACTCAATTGAATCGTTCAAATGAAACAGAACAACAACATCAAATTCGACTTGAGAAGCAAAGGAAACGAAGCGAAGCAAGCAGAGTGAAGAAGAAATTTGAAACCGCACATTTGATAACATTGATATTCATCGACAAAATATCGAAATACAATTTAGCGAAGCGGAAGAAGAAGCATCATTGGATAATAGCAGCACAAATGAAAACATCATAAAGAAAACGAACGACTCAAATTATTCCTGTTGGCCTGAACCGATTCCTCGTGAATTAAAAGAGGCCCGATTGCAAAAGTTTCTTCAACAGATGTCTATGTCAGTACTAGCTGATGTTACTTGTACAATTTGCAACGTTCGTACTCCAATACAACAGTCAAAAAAAGTGCCACTCTCAAAAACTCCTAATATTCATTTACTTAAAGTTTCTGATGAACTCAAAAATTTAATTACTAATGGTTCACCATCGTTATCACAACATTTAGACGGTAACAGCACAGCAATTCTTCAAAATATTCAAAGTAACATATGATTACTATGATTTGAGACATTATATAGAATCTTTGTCTATTCTAGTTCCTTCAACTTTCGATTCTTCATCATTTCATCATTTCATTATGATAATAGTGTTATCTTATATACCAATGGATTATTTCAACAAAACAAGGTGAACATGTGCATACTTTGCCAAAAATGTCATATTTCTCTGTCGAATGGACAAATTCCTTAATTCTCAGCTGCCAACAATATGTGGTTAGGTGACGTACCTTCTGAATTACAAGGATTGACAATTCCAGAAGAAAAATTGATATCACTCTATCGTCACAACAGCTGTATAATAAAACTTCATTCGCCTTTCCATTCAACTACAACTGCCCAGACAGCATTGAAAGGCAACTGTATTACTTTTCTTCAAAATGTACCAAATATTGTTAATAGTTTACCACTTACACTTAACGAGCTGTGTGATACACTTAAAGTAATTTTCGTCGGAGCTCATCCTCCTGAACGCATTCAACTTAAAAAAGTGCTTACAGTACGCAAAAAGAAAATTATCGAAGCATTACATTGGCTGAAGAAACACAACGTACTTTATCAAAATGTTGATATAAATCTGAAGAATATTGCTCAATTACCTGAAGACGATGTACCAGAATGTATTATGTCAACGATGGAACAGAAGATAGGCGATGAAGAAATTCAATCTGAAAGAATTGGATATATTCCTGATCCATTATCTGACCCAATAGAACGTACTAGTACAGATAGTATTCCTATTACTAACAGGTGAGAGTAGCTAATAAATTAGTTGTTTCACAAATCTTTTCTTTTTTAGTGGTGTTCTCGATGTCAACGGCTCATCAGTGTCTTCAGATGAAATTACTAATTATCTTTTGCACAAAATTAAAAATGACGGAACAGAGGAACAGATGGACACCGAAAATGTTTATTTGATTCCTCATTCTTCGAAGCCTGTTAACGAGTATTTTAATCCAAAACTACTCGTAGGTCTGTATCCAACCTTATTCTGTTATGGACGTGGCGCACCTGAAGATCAATCGCGTCCAGTTAAAGTAAATTTACGAGAACACATACGTTATCTGTTATCGTACAATGATCGACGTTTTGAAACGAACCACGGTTTTATATTTGTCGTCTTCAATCTATTACAACGACATGATGCTTGTTTTCATGCTCAGCTGATCGCAACAAAACCTTACTTTCGAGCATCTGCTGATGAAATTCAATCCTTGAAAAGTAAAGATATTGAAATGGCGCTCGATAACATTTCCAAAAAAACATACAGTTCAGAATCCAACAGTGCATTAAATAAATTATTGCATCATATTAAAACCATCGGTGGTCGAGTTATGGGTTCAGCATATTCACGTACGGCATTACGTACGCGTATTCATGCATTAATCTATAATCAAGGATTACCAAGCATTTTTTTAATTTTAAATCCAGCTGATATTCACAGTCCCGTGGCATTATATTTTGCGGGAGTCAAGTTGGATTTAGATAATATTCAATTAGCGCAACTGATGACTACTTACAAAAGAGCCGAAATTATAGCTTCTCATCCTGTTGCTACCGCAAAATTTTTTCATTTATTAATTTCAAATATCTTAAATACTATGCTTAGTGGTGGTGTTCTTGGACCAATAAAAGCTTATTTTGGTACTGTTGAAAGTCAAGGACGAGGTTCGCTTCATTTGCATCTTCTTATTTGGCTTGACCATGAAATGAAACCAGCTGATATGAAAGAGAAGATTCAAAATGCTGATTTTCGTGAAAAGTTAAAGGCATATTTAGAAGATATTATCAAAGAAGATTTGGATGAATTCAAAGATAAACATGTCTTTGAGAATTTAGACGGTATGGAACGTTTTGCTTTTATTCGAATATTGATTTCTAATTTTATATTGTAGTGACAAGATCATTCGTTACTCCTCCACGATTATCACAAGATAATATCAATGCGGCTTTACGTACTATTGATTTAACAAGTTTAGCCGAAAATATAAATAAATCTTCTGTTTGATCGACACCAATCAAGCAACAACTTTCTCCATCAATTCCTTATGCTTC